TAGGTGAACGTACATTAGCAGGGGGGTTGGATTAGATGATTTCCAGAGGTACCTTCGAACCCTGTCCATTCTGTGATTCTGTGATTTACGGAAAAGCAATCTAAGATGGTCTTAGAGGCTGCTGAACTCAGAGCTGGCAGTTGCAGCTCAGCAAGAATCTTGGAAGCACAGCTGACAGCTCTAAGAAATCTCCAAGTCAATGAGTAGCAGCAGATAAAAAAGTCAATGAAATGTTGGACATGATCAGGTACTAAGAACAAGAACAATGGTGTAATTTTGAAGCTATTTAAACACAACTTTGAGTGACCACACCTTGAGTACTGCATGCGGTTCTATTTGGCCCCTGCACCTCAGAGAGGCAGTGGCATTAAGAAAAGACAGAGAGGAAGGGCTACTGAAATCATCAAGAAGCCAGATCAGCTGGCATATGAGGAGATAGTAAAAATGCTGAGACTCTTCAGGCTGCAGAAGAGAAGGTCCAGGGTGAATGCAATACAGATTTACAGAACTGCAGAGGCAGCGAATAGGGCAAATACTGCAGAGATACTGCAATGCTGCAACTATGGGACATACAAGAAAACTATTAGCATGACAGCTTGAAACAGGTAAAAGAAAGCTTGTCTTTACACAGCAGTTAGTAAACTTCTGGACCTTACTGCCACTGGGGGGTTGCAGAGGCAGAGTACCAGGAAGTTCAAAAAGGGATTAAACTTATTAATGGATTCAAAAATGGGTCAAAAAAAATAGGATGTAACAGCCCTCATACTCAGTTTTGGTTTCTGAGAGGCTACAAGGGGAACGGATTGCAAAAAGTATCCAGGCAAAAAGTATCCAGTTACTCTAAACAGCATCTCCCAGTGCCACTGTTTAGGGCAAGCTATTGGACAGGCAGCCCACTGCTCTAACACACTAAGGGTATTTCTTAGGTATTTATCATGCTCCATTTGCTGAATAAATGACAAATGATAGATGACTGCTAGCTAGAAGTAAACATAGCCAAGAATACGGGCTACTAGAAAAACTAAAAAAAGAGAACACTGATTTTTCGGGAGTAGTGCTTAGTCAAATTATTATTTTTTGGGCAAACATTTTTTGGATATAAAACCTGGTTCTCCTGCTGGACATTAATTCATCTCATCTCCTATTACCCTAAATCAAGGAGAAGAAAGATTTTATACCAGCTCTTTGGGTTACTAGTTCACAGGTCAGTTGCTCATATCACAGAAGTTAAATACAACTAGAAAATAAATGAAAGTTACAGCTGTGGGATAATTCTTCTAAGGGGAAGGTGACCTGGGGCCTTTATTAGCAGATTTTTTTATTCTTTCTAATTATTCTTCATTTCGGCAAATTCAGGTAAATAAGCCTTTTTGTTGTTCCCTCAAAGTCCTGGATTCTCACACTGAATTCTTCTAAAGCAGCCTGTTTCCAACTCATCCCCATATAACTCCAGTTTAACACCACATGATTGTCCAAATAGATGGAAACAACGATGGGCATCTGAAGAGATAAAGAAATGAACATAAGGTATATGAACTTACCTCTTACTAAGGTAACAACAGAGCTGAGTCTTACAGAAGGAAGCATCACAACTCCATTCCTGATAGCAAACGCACTTGTACACAACTTAGTCAATGCTGGACCCCCATGAAACCACACAGTCTTTTTTAAAATGGTGCATGGAAAAATATAGAGGTAACTGAAATCACAGGGTTATTTAGTGTGGTTTATGCTATTTCCTAACACTTCTGCATTTGGAAAAGTAGATTAAGCTCAACCAAACATTTATAAAGTGTGACTTTAGCAGCTCTCCAGATAAGTGGCTCCAAAACAGAGTGTCTATTTTTTCTGTTTTCAAAAAACCTCAGTAAAGCTAGTTTCGAGAGAAAATCCAGAAACGACAGACTAACTGGATAGCATTCTGTGGAGAGTACCCCTCAAAACCACCTAGAAGAAAAGCTCTCTCTTCCTGTGGTCTCACTCTTATTATGGCTAGCATTTCTTGCTGGCATAGTGCATACAGACAAGGCCATACAGCGATAACAGCAACCATGAACAGAAATCCCACAGGATAGGTTCTATGAACGCTTCAAAGGTCTTCTGCAGAATGAAGCAAAACCAATGTCGGAAGAGGCGATGCAGCTCCTACTTACTCTACTAAATCGAAGAGCTTCTTGGGTTCAGCTGGGGGTGGGTAGATGACTTCATCTATGCATTTCCGGACACAGTTTGCATAGGCGGTGGAGATGTGGATGAAGGCCTCGAGGTTCTGCATCTGCCGGGCCAGCTCTAGGAGCCGCTGTGTGCCCATTGCATTCAGTTGCAGGGCATGTCTAAAGAGGGCAGCGGAAAGAAACAAAATGCATTTCAACGGAAAGAATATATCAAAGCTGAGCATCATCCAAACTCCAAATAATGAAAAGGCAAGTAAGGGAAGAGAAGGGGTCACAGCAGAGCGGAAAGCTTCAATGAATTGCAAGGGCTAAACCAGCTTTCAGAGCAATACTGTTGGATTCTCTGTTCCGGCCACAGAATGTCTCTCAAATATTTTTACTCTATTCAAAGGATGAGAGGTATCATTTCTCTAACGACTCCACATCTGACCACCCCTTCCTGGAAGAAATATTTCCACACACTTGACCACTGAGGCTTTATGGTTCCTATGGTACTCATTCAACTTTCTCCTTAAGGGACCACTGCTAAACCAGATAAACACATGGCTCCAGTAAGCAGCAAAGGGGTCCTTGGGTTCAGAAAAAGATTCATACTGAAAGAAGACACAATTAGAGATAACAGCTTAAATTCCCAAGGAATGGAGAAGAGAACTGCTAAGCATAAGAGAAAAAGAGTCCTGGTTAGCAAGCTTGACCTTGAAGCACCCAGCATAGCTAGAGGTTGTCCTAGACACTATCTGCAATGGATCTCAGCAAACAGAATGTTCCACTTTGTTGCATGCTTTGTACTGGAAGAAAGACACTTTCCTGCACAGAAGGGAAAAGGCTAAGGAATATGCAATCTGTTCAGTCGAGGAGTAGAAGCTTTCAACAATATGTACAAGATTATGAATAATGCTATCAAGTACACTAAAGAAATTAATTACACTAGCATTGAAGAGAAATTGTAAATAGTCCAGATGAATGAAAACAGAAGTTAAGAGTATGATTAATGTTTGGATCACGATATCTAAAGCCAGAGATACTTTTTTTTCTTTTTTTTTTTTTTTTGCATGCTGCTATTAAAGAATAGCATTTTCTATAGATTTCTATCTCCTCCTGCCCTTCTAGCAGGATGAATACTTCTACTTTAGCTACCCTTCATATGAAAGTTACTCTTCCATGTACATTTCTATTCAATTGTATCCCTTCTGAGAGGAAGGTGAACATGAACTGTGCTCAGAATACAGGCCCAGCACAGATTTCTGCTGAGACATTCAGAGTTCGTTTAGCCTTCAAGGGGAATATCATCTAATCCTGGTGATTCGTTACTCTTTATTTTTTTCTATTTATATTAAAACTACATCTACTAATATTTCAATATAACACAGTTTCTCAGATTTCTGCCCTCAAGAGTTCCATCTGGAGAATTCCCTAAATGTACTGCTTGTTGATGCTAATAATTCATTTAGTTTCTCTGTTGCTGCTTTTCTAGTATCTTTATAGCACTGCTTTTGCACCTCCCTTATCTATCGGCTCTACATATTCTGTGATACGTTTTGGACTTCTTCTGTGTTTAAAAAATATTTTTATTTTTTTGTGTCGTTAGCAAGTTGCTGCTCAGAATTCTTATTTGAGCAGCAATATTGTGCTTTCACATTTACCTTGCTAGAACTTTTACCCGTATGATATATTTTATTATTCAGACAGGAATAACTTGATTTTAACAACTTCTTGTATTTTGCCATTTAATCATACTGGATTTTCCTTGTTCTGTTAGAGAGATTTTGACAGATCACATGCAATCAGCCTTTAAATAGTTTCTACACTGCCTGCAAGCAAATGAACATATTAACTTTTTCTTTTAACTTCTTTCTAGCTATCCTCCTTATTAAAAATGTAGTTTCCCTTTGATGTTACATGCCACTGTGACCTGTTCTTATAGAATGTTCATTTGTGTATTGATTTAAGATCATTTATGGCTATTAATGCAGTGCAGTGCTTTACTACCTCTATCTTGAGCCAGGTTCTACACACTGCTCAAAATTAAATCAAGAGCTCCTCCCTTTCTGGTGGGTTCTATAATTAGCTGTTGCAAAATGCAATTATTTATGGTGGACACAGTGGCTATCTATTTAGCCTACATATGAGGAAGTGAAGACTGATATTAATAACTGTGTTTTCTACTCTCACAGCCTTAATGTTTTTCAAAAAACTGTGACGATCTGGCAATCCTGATCATCCACCTCCATTTGTTGACCTTCACAATTCACATAGAAGCACTTACACATCTCATCTTGGTTTAGTGGCATATTTCTGCTGTTCTTTCTTAATGGAAAGCTTGCCTGGACAGTCACTCCCAAGGGAGCTCCTTCAGAAACTGAGCTTTTATTATAAACAGTTAATTACACCAAGTGTTGGGTATTTTAAAGCTTGCGATAGTTTATTTTCTCAAACAACATCTTATTTCCCTCTCCAGTTACTCAGTGACAAAGAAAGGCCATTAACACTAGCTTTAGAGTCAGACACAACATAGTTTCACTTCAAGCTGTCTCCAGCTCCTTCTGCCAAAACATCTCCCTCTTGACCTAAAACACACTTTTCCCTATCCCAATTTTAGGTCGTACTTAACTCCCTTACTATATGACAACCCAAGCTTGCGGTATTTCCTTCTGTTCCCATGGAAATCTGCCAAGATACTTCACTTCTGACGTGCATATGCACATGACATTTTAAGAGCATTTACATCGCACATTCAGTGCAGAACCACACGTAGCACAAAAATGTAAGTGGAGAATTATTGTCACGGCTATATAAGAGATGCACTGAAGGGTGTGTTATGGGCCATTGTGCATTCTGAATCATGCTTAGCAAATACAGAAAGCAGGACGTACTTCAGGGGTTCATCAAAGCGAACTGTTGCTGCACAGTGGAAGACAATATTGACCCGGGTCAGAAGCTCCTCCTCATCTTCAGCACTGATGGCCAGCTTGGGCTGAGTGAGTTCAGCATTAATAGGCTTAATCTTCTCGTGGAAATTAGGGCAATCTTCTCGGACCCTGTCAAAGACCTTGAAGCACAAACAGAGAGAGATCAAGTACAGAATTAGGCTACTGAGATCACTTTGATTAGTAGCCAGTCTGATTACATCAATCAATAAAATTGGCACAAAAGAGAATGCCTGGTTCTTTCAGAGGGAGGACACAGGAGAGATGATAAAATAGTTAATTCACTTGTTCCCTCCCATGGGAAAACCTCACAGGGGAAACAGAACAAAAATACAGGAGGTAATGCATTGCCCTGAAGAGATGGATGAATCTTCCCTGCACCACTCGTTTCCTGGGACAGCCAATGAAATGCCTGCACCACCGCACCTCCTGCAACCACTTGCTATTTGACCTCAAAGGCTGCCTGTAGCACCATAGCACGAGCTAAACAGGAGAAGGGCAGAGTATGGAGTAGGAAAGCCTGTGAAGCATTAGACTCAAGCAATTTTCTTAATGGTTCTACAAAGGACTTAAGGAGAAGGGGGGAACAGGGCACATTCTGGCTCCTCCTCTTCCTTTGCAGCTTGCCTACTGTCACTCGTTGTTCATGTCAGCTGAGTCCTATGGGGAACTGCCTTTGGGATGGAAAGATGGGGAATCTCAATAACCCATACTGCTAAAGCTGTTGACTGCCATCAGCAATTTTGCATAACTGGACAAGTGTGCAGCTAGTTTGCCTCTCAAGCTGTCTTCCAGCCCTTTTTTCCTATGAGTATGACCCGTAGCTGTTTCCAATACACTGTTTCTGCCCAGACTTCTTCAGAATGACAAGACTGTGCCTCTGTACACTAAAAAGATCCCTACATTTCCATATATGGTTCTGTCTGATGACTTGTCCAAAATCAGCATTTGGCACCTGGCTTTGCCCAAGACCTGAGATAGCAGATACCCTGAACAGCAAGACACCCGTGCACAAACCTTCTGAAAGGAAAAAGAAATCAATACTGTCATCACTTGAAAGGTGCCTGTGTGAAAACAGCAGTTTCTTCAGTTCCCATTTTTACTCTGCGAGTAGCTCAGAGTCACTGGTAACAGTATAGCAGATCTGGGTGCAGTTCTGCTTGTGCCATGAAAGCACATGGCTACTGCAGGTCCCACCTGGAGACCTTTTACTTGGTAAATCTCACAGGCAAAAGAACCTGAAGCCTGAATTTCAAAACACTATGTGAGTTTGCTGGAGTAGAATTTGAAAAAATAATCTTAAGTTTTAGAAGCATCTGTTCTAAGGTTTTTGTACTGCTGGCCAGCATGATAGTATTTGAGCAAATTCAACTGAAATAATAGAAACAGTTAAGCACAAAAAGCTCCTCCCTTTTGGGGGCAGAATGACAACAAGAAAGGTTGAAAGAATAAAGAGAATAGAGATGCTGTGGGATCTGAAGAAGTATAATCTAGATTTCAAAGGATAATGACACTTCAAAGGTAACTAGCCTACTGACAGGAACAACTAAGTACTGGGACAGATTGCTGATGGATGCTGTGGGCCACTGCACTTGGACACATTTAAGAACTGTCTAGATAAGCATTGCCAGGAAAGGCAGGGAATAGCTGAACCCACCTTGAGGCAGGAGGATGGGCCACATGGCTTCTCAGTAGCTCTGTGGTTTTTGGGTGTTTCCTCTACTCTGTAGCTTACTCATCAGTAACATAGAGTTTGTAAATCTCTTTACTATCATGGCCTCTTGTTTTCCTAGAGATTGTTCTGTCTTTGATTTGCCTAGTGCTTACATAAGAGCAGCAATTTGTGACACAAATTAAACATACTAAAAGAAAAAGATGCATGAAAGATTGAATTGATACTAATAGCAATATTTTCTTGTTTGACTAAGGGATTACCATTTTTCTGCTTATCTGACAACCACATCTGGATAAAACTCCATGTTCTTAGGGACAAAGGAGTGGTAAGAAAATCATTAGCTTTCCCCACTATGCAGCACACTCTGTACTTGACTTAATGTATTTTTCTTTAACTTCTGCACACCCTTCATAAACCTGAAGCTCAAGCAAGTTAACAGGAGTTGGACAAGATAATGTAATTTCATTTCTCTCAATTGCACCCAACTACATGTGTATTTCAGCAATGTAGTCTAGGCCAGAGAATAGATTTCTAGACAGAGAAAACTAATCATGGACAAAGATGTTGGTGACAGGCAGCTGGACTGTAGGAACTCAATTCCCAACGACTTTTATTCAGAATCAGGTACTAGCAGCATTAAAGTCTGTAAAAAGCAAACCCTGGTGAGACACAAAATGGAAAGGTTTCTCAGAGAATCAATGTAAGAGCAAAGCTACCTTGTCCGAGTTCTAGGAACAATTCTGCATTTGTTTGTTCTATTGCAAAGACAGTGTAAAACTCCACCCAATAAGAGCTATTTTATACTTGTTTTACTTTGGCATAAATGCAAAGGCAGAGAAAGAATGAATCGTCCCTTTCTCCATTTCAGTCATGCCATATAAAAAGAAGAGTAGTATTTCCGCAATGACAGCCTTGCTCAGTTTTGGACAGTTATATTCTGTCTACATGCCATCTCCTCCTGACGTTCACACTGCAGATAATATCCCCTTCGGTTTCCGTGCCTACTGCTAGGTATTGCCTACTACCACACACCACTCAACAGCTGTACTTTTTCACCCCCTCCAATGATTCACTGTATTTCTCTCAAGGATGAAGGCAATTTCTAAATGCAAGCTCACAAATCAGCATACTGCTTTGGAAACCTTCTGGATCACAAGAACATTCAGTTCATTGTCACCATTAAATCAGATAACAGGACCAGCTGTTTAATCAAAGTCTGCTGCCTCTTTTATGGAATATGAAGATTTCAGACTTGTCAGTGCTTTACAGGGATGTGCAAGAAGATTTAAAGACAAAACAGATGCAGCTTATTTTATACCGTTTCCTATAGTTCAAGGAGTGCTTAACATAAAGATGATGCTTAGCCTGCGGGTGAACTATAACTGCATCTCTAAAGAAACTCAATCAGAGCATATACAATAAATCCCCAATAACCGCATGAGGCCTACGGATTGTACTAACTTTTCTTTTTGGAAGCTGTCTGCCAACACAAAATATATTCAATGGACGGAAGCAGGCCAGTGTGCTGTTGCAAACTGCATGAAAACACTGGCCAAGTCAGCAATGCCCCAGCACTGATATATTAATTACCACAGAATTATAGTGAAGAGGAAGGAAAGATGTTTGATTTCAAGTTGATCAACTGTGTCCAATATTAATTAAACTGAGGGAAATCAGTAATAACATATCCTGCTTTCAGTGTCTTTTTGAGCATCCTAATGCATTCCGAGGGCAACACTGCTGCCTTGACTGAAAGAATAAATGAACCTAATAGCTGCTATTCTCATTTTAATCCTTAAAATAGGACTCAAGTTCCGGACAGGCTGTGCTGCCCATCAACAGAGGTGAGAATTTCACTCTGAAATTTGCTGATGTTTTTCTTATGTTATAATCAGGCGATCCCACTTACAATAATAGTCTATTCTCTGTGATTTCAATTTACATTGTCAAGCACTTATTATGAAAACAGGACTTCTATAATTTCTCCCAACATTATATTTGAGTGTGTTTGATGCGCATCTTTTTCTCTATTCCTGCCCACTTAAGCTTTGACCTTCCTTCCCGAAGGACATCTGTAACTCTCTATATTCTCTGCTCTTGCCTTAAAGCATGTAATAGTTCAGAGATTTCTGCCCATCAGTCTTTCAATCAGAAATTTTTCCGTGCCACAAAGACACAAAAACATAAAATAAATGGCAAATTGCACATGTATGGAACAGTGCAGCTGAAAAATAAAGGAACCACTGAACAATGTAAAATGCCAAAGGCTTCACTGCTTCCTCAGGAGATATTTTCAATGAAGCAAATACAAAATAATGAAAAGTAGAATGCTTAAGCCATGGTCTCCTTTAAAAAGGAACTTCCATGAGTTTGGTCTTCTAACTGCCTTTCAAGGAAGCCTGGGTAGTACTTCCTTTTTTGGACCTATCAGTCCTCATGGCTAAAAAACCAACTTACTGTAACAGGCACCATGCAGAATGGCTTTTCATTGAGAAACACAAATAGGAGAGAGAGCACTTCTCCTATTTGCTTGATGACGTTATCTAACACTATTTCCTGTGCTCTTCCATGCTGTGAAGGGTTCATCTTCCAAAGTGCTAAATAAACATGTCCCAGCAATGCAAGCCATGTTGAAAGTGGGCTGCTGCTCTTCATCACGTTATCAGCAGAGTCTGTAACTCACTGTGGCTCCTTTCTGCAACAAGCTGCCTCTTCAGTGATAGCACTCCTGGCTCTCCCTCCGCTGTCTCAGGGCCAAATGCTTTGGTGACTGACCCAGAAAGCACCAAGTTTTTAAGTGTGGCCTAAAAAGGTAACCTTGTTTCCTCCTGTGGTACAATACTGGTAATCAACTGAGGCATCCAAATTACACTATTTTAACCAGATGTTGCCAGCTTTTTTTTGGTAAGATAAATAAAAAATGGTCTTCTCTGGTGCACAGTGGGACCAGGTGTGTTTAATAGGCACTGGGATATTAGGCTTCTCTAGGAGGATTAGCAAAAGATGGTAACTTACATTATAGTATGTACATTTCAAGGCATTACTGTATGAGAACATTTAAAATGGAGAAAAATCTGAGAATTCCCTTTGTGGGAAAATGAGGAACCACTGAGAAGATTAAGGTAAAGAGAATTCAATTAAAAAAAAAAAAGGCAAAAAGCTTCCATCCTTTCAGATGAAGAAATGCATGGGATTGCTTAGCATAATTCAGGAAAATATAAACAGGAATTGCTTCTGTAAAGGAAATATAATTTATTCCAAGCAAGAGATAGGCCAAGGGGTAAAACATCATAGCAACAATTCCTTTAAAGAACAAAGTGTTCATTGGGTGTGGGGAATAATTTTAAAAGCAAAATGTTTGAAATACCTCTTCTGAGCAGAGCATTGGTGTATAAATGCTAGGGAACAGCCTATATATATATATATATATATATACATACACACAGA